AACGTTCAATATGCTTCTTTTGGTGAAATAGCCTCTAAAATGGCAACCTAGGCTCATATCTCTAAGGAAGTAGCATAAAGCAGGGAGGTTGGGGCTCTCTGGACCTCTCAAGGTCCAGATCCAGAGTTTAACACTCAAGGGACATCATAAGCATCATATCCAAGCCAATAAAGGATAGAGAAAAACCCTAGATTCAAGGGTTCTTCACCAAAACAGAAAAGGGTTCGATTTAATACCTCAAAGATGGAGTTTCCTTGCTTGAAATCACAGAATAGCAACCCCCTTGACCTTCTTTTGCTGGAATCTCCTTCTTCTTTGCAAAAACCACACCAACAAGGATTAAAATAGCCCTTCTCCTCACACCACACACTCAAGCTCACTAGGGTTTCTCTCTCTGGACTGGTAGCCGCAAATGAGGGCCATAAGGTTCCTTAAATAGGGTACAGGCCCGAGGATTTAGGGTTTCCACCCACAGCGCCTACTCGGCGAGTCTACTCTTGGACTCGTCGAGTAGTTCATTAAACTTACGTGGCGACCACGCTTCTACTCGACGAGTTATAGCACCAACTCGTCGAGTAGGTCATTGATTCACAAAAATAAATAATTAAAATAATATACCTGGAAATCCGGGTGTTACACCAATTCTCACGGTAAAACAGCGATATGGGTAATCGTCGACCGCTTCTCAAAATTTGCTCACTTCATTAGTCTTCCTTCCAAGTTAACAGCAGCGTCCTTGGAGACATTGTTCTTACAAACCATCTACCGTTTGCATGGTATCCCAAACAACATCATATCTGATAGGGACTCGTTATTTTTAAGCTCCTTTTGTAAAGAACTGTTCAAACAGATGGGCACACAGCTTCGTTACTCCACCGCTTACCACCCGCAATCGGACGGACAAACGGAAGTCGTAAACCGTTGTCTCCAAACTTACTTACGCACGTTTTCAAGTGATGAACCCCACTCGTGGAGCACATACTTATACTTAGCCGAGTACTGGTACAACACCTCATATCACTCCGCCATCCAAATGTCACCCTTCGAAGCACTTTATGGACGACCAATACCTGATATGAACCACTATGTTCCACGGACCTCTACCATAGCCACCATTGACACGTCACTTACGGAACACAACCGACTTCGCGCCATTATCAAAGACAACTTGAGACGTGCTCAACAGCGAATGGAGATGTATGCAAATGAGAAAAGGCTCGACAAACAATTCAGTGTAGGCGACATGGTTTTTTTGAGGTTACGAGACTATCGCCAGCAATCCGTACAGACACGAGCAACCAAAAAACTAAGCAAACGTTTCTTTGGGCCCTTCAAAATCCTCAAACGCATAGGAGTTGTGGCGTACCGACTGGACTTTTCGGCAACTTCCCGGATCCACCCGGTATTTCATGTTTCATTGTTTCGCCAAGCACATGGAAATCCAACGCCCATTCCACTTCCTGAGTTTCTGGCTGCCACCAGCGAACAACCCAAGCAAGTGGTAAACCACAGGGTACATCACACATAAGTTCAAATCTTAGTCGAATGGGAGGGCAAAGACAAAACCGAGGCCACATGGGAGCTGTACACAAATTTCAAAGTCCATTTTCTGGAGTTCTGTACCACCAACACCTATGTCCAGGAGCTCGAGGGCGAGCTCGTTGCAAAGGGGGGAGTATTTGATACGGACCATGATCTATTGCAATACCAATCAGCAACAGTCAGTCCAACGGACATCAAGACCACCAGGCCCAGGAGGATAACCAGAATTCCTGATCGATACAAAGATTAAAGCTGCTGGGGCACGTTCCAAAAGACCAAGTCTACTTTCAGTTGAATTCTAATAAAGTAGTATCATTAATGTAGGACCACGTTTAGTTTCAGCATGCATGCATTCCTTAATTTCAGTTAATTTTTGTTATAAATTGTAAGCATTCATAGAGTAATGGTTATGCAGAAATTTGTCCCAAGTCCTCTGTTATTATTCTTCTCCCTGAATCTGTCACTCTCTACTCTGATCTTAACAGAATTCCAAATGGAGAAGGATTTTAATTTGAAGTAGCTTTTGGAACATTTGGATTTTGATTTGAAGTAGCTTTTAAGGATTTAAGACGAGATTTTTGTTAAATATCCACATAATATGCTTTAAATTGGTATTAACTACTCCATTAATGAGTAAGGTTAATGTCATGGAATATCAACCAACTTTTATTGATTTACCATTTAATTCATCAGAGTTATAAAACTGATGTCATTGAGATAAAACTGATGTCATTGAGATGATATAGCATGTCTAATGCACAAAATCTTGATTAATTGTGCAACTCTCTTTAACTTTTTGTGCCATAGGTATTTCTGGAAAAGCCAAAGATGGATGCACAAGAGATATGGACATTACATCACGATGGTTTGGGCAAAACTCGATTGATTGGGAAGGGGAGGTTTCTGGAATGACTAATTTGAAGAACACGGACGGTAGAGGTAATGATGTTTGTATTTTGAATTTTTGTGTTTTTCGTGCTATGGTTCGTATTCCTATCACGTTTCTTTCCTTTTTTCTATATATCTGATGTTTGTTTCTTTGATTTCCTAGATTTCGAAGTGCTAAACCGTTTTGTTGGTTGAATTTAAGGTTTTTGTTTGTTCGATTAGAGAATCAGGTTTGAAAAATTCTAAGCCATTTATAGATCATGAGGTTTAAAAACTCTCTCACATATACATACACATACAATCGTTTTATTGATTTCTCTGTCTTGTCTGTCTATTTAAATATATGTGTAATAGGAATGTACTTTCACTTTTTTTTACAGAAACTAGCAATGTATCGTCCATGATAGCATAGTACTTTCATTTATTAGCACCTGACATTAACGGCTAATAATTACAACATCTACTTTTACTTTATTCCTTTTTAAGCATCGTACTTTCAGAGTTAAACCAACTACGTCCTACTTTCGTTACCTATGAAACATCAACAAAAAACATCTGACCCGTGCAACGCATGGATCTCTTCACTAGTTAAAATGAAATTTAGGAAAAATCGACATTTCTTGGCGAAATTAAAGATATGAGAAATCTTCATTAAAGTTTCATTATTTTACTCTTATTTACGAATAAATATCAAATTAAAATTTATTTATGAAAAAGCATGAATTACCGGCAATGTATCGTCCATGATAGCATAGTACTTTCATTTATTAGCACCTAACATTAACTGCTAATAATTTACAACATCTACTTTTACTTTATTTCTTTTTTAAGCATCGTACTTTTAGAGTTAAACCAACTACGTCCTACTTTCGTTACCTATGAAACATCAACAAACTAGTTAAAATGAAATTTAGGAAAAAATCGACATTTCTTGGCGAAATTAAAGATATGAGAAATCTTCATTAAAGTTTCATTATTTTACTCTAATTTACGAATAAATATCAAACTAAAATTTATTTATGAAAAAACATTAATTACCGGTAAAAGTGACGATTTAACCATTTTTTTGGGTTTATCGGTTTCATTGCTGACTTTGACACCTAGTCATTAGATAAGTTGGGGAAATCTCCATTAAAGTCCCACTAGTTTACCCTAATTTACGAATAAGTCCAAAACTAAAATTTCTCTACGAAAAAACATGAATTACCGGTAAAGAAGATGATTTGGCTATTTTCTTCTGTAACATACATTTTACTGGTTTCGTTGCTGAACCGAAGGCCTAATCATTAAAAGAGTTATTGAGATTGATATGTTGGTTTATATAATGCTACGTTTACCGTAAAACTTGATATCCTATTGCATTGTTTATTTTTTTTAAATATGAAATGCATCCAAAGAAGATTACAATAACTACATAAACTAGCAACAACTTCATTATTATTGAGGTTTCTAACAAATTTCAAATTGTCTAACTAATTTTATGTAACCCGAAATATCCATCTTATCATCTTATTTCTCGCCCCTTTTTCCAGTAACACACATTTTACCGGTATCATTGCTGACCTGAACGTCTAGTAATTAAATGAGCTGATAAGATGGATATTAAGTTTTATGGTAAACATAGAATTATATAAGTCATCATATCCATCTTATCATCTCATTTAATGAAGAGGTGTCTAGGTCAGCCATGAAACCGGTAAGATGTGTGTTACAGAGAGAAACGGGTCAAATCATCATTTTTACTGGTAGTTAATGATTTTTCATAAACAAATTTTAGTTTGGGACTTATTTGTAAATTAGAGAAAAATAATTGGACTTTTATTGAGATTTCTCCATCTCATTTAATGACTAGGCATTCAGTTCAGCAATGAAACCGAAAAAAAAATAATGAAATCATCACTCTTACCGGTAATTCATGTTTTTTCATAAACAAATTTTAGTTTGGAACTTATTTGTAAATTAAGGTAAAATAATGAGATTTTAATGGAGATTTCCCTAAAATATTCTAGAAAATATTTTACTTGATTATCACTAAAACAATAACTTGTTGAATGCGTGGTTTTAATAAATAATAGGTAGAACTCGGAGATATTTTTTTTATTTGCTTCAATAACTTTAAAGATATTCATTTCTTAATTTCCCTTGACATTGCCTCATTCTCATGACATGTTTATCCAATCTCCCTTTCCCCACTTACGGTTTTAGAGATTAGTCTAATTTTATTGATTTTCCTAAGATTTGTTGAAAATTTTAGGGTCTTTTGTAACTTTAAGCCGTAAACGGTCACCCAGATCAAAGCACACGATCATCTTCATAAATGGTCGCCCAGATGGGTCTTCTTATAACTTTAGGCCCTAAGCGTTCGCCTAGATCAAAATTTTAAGGTACCTTGTAACTAACTTTTTTGGCTTAAATATGGAGAACCGTATATTTGTTCAAATATTATATCTGTCGAGTATATGTATGTAAGTCTAGTTTGACAACTGATATATTATTGCATTTACACAATGATGAAAAACAAAATTGTTGAATAAATTCAATTATGAGAGTCTGGTTCAATTCACGCAAATGCACACTGTTGGAGGATAGAACCTCTGGACTCTAAAGATCAAAGCACACGATCATCTTCATAAACCAAAATCTTAATACTATGCAGATGTCCTAATAATGAAATTACATATTTTCCCAAACAAACCCCAAATATCTGAAAAAATCCACACATAAATAAAAACACAAAGATAATAACAAGCAATACCACAAATACGATAAAAATCTTGCGTATTATGTTATGTCGTACAAAACCAACTCTCAAGTAAGATCGTCTTCCTCATCCTCCTTGGCCTTGATCAACAGCTTTACTCTCAATAGAAGCGTCGTCTTCCACTCATCCTACACAACACAATTTAAACTTTTTAAAAAAATTTAATTTAATCAAATTTAAAAAAACGTAAATTAATATTCGATGAAATTACCAGCTTTGTCATGCTGTCGAATTCCTTCACAGCATCAGTAAATTTTTCAACATCTTCCTCGTCTAGCGCAGCGGCTAAATCCTACCGTAACAAATTCAAAAAGAATTAAGCAGACAGCAGACAACAGACAGAATTAAAATTTTAATGAGATAAAAAGAAAATGAGAACATACGGCGAGTAATCTGTATTCACGTGTTGCTGAAAAAGTGGGGTCCAGTTCCTGATAACGATCCAAAGCATTTGTGATGGCGATGACATCACCTTTGCAGAGTTGGCAAATGCCAGCATTAAGTAGATGCCCTCTCACTCCATATTTTAGCAAGTTATTATTAAGAGATTGTCGTGCTATACCCTCATAAATCTCTATAGCTTTCTGATATCTGTTCAATTCAATACACATATCACATAACAACACTACACCATTTAATTTTTTTTACCACAAAAACCAACATAAAAGAAGGACTTACTGTTCAAGTTGAGCTGAAAACTGAGCAATTTTCTGTTTGCATTGGTTAGCAGAAGTTGTTACTTCTTCACCTTGAAAAAGATCAGCTGCTTTATCATAGTAAGCGATTGCTTGCTCCAAGTTTTGCTCTTGTTCATATGACTCAGCAATTTCCTGCATATGGTCAAGTTTGAAAAATATTTTTTTATGTAATTTGGCTACACATAAAAAAAAAAAAAAAACATGTAAGTGTTTAATTGAAAACATAGATAAATTTCTATTGGTGGTGTACCTTGGCATATCTTGCAGACATGCTGAGCCTCCCAATTTCCATGAACAAATTTAATGCTTGCTCTAGGCAAGCTACACACTCTGCATACATCAAATGATAACAAGAGTATACATAAAACAAAAATGATAATTGCAAGAAACAGCAGTGAAATGAATGCTAACCCTTGGTGTTTGTTTTCTTGTATGCATGACCTGCATCAGCATAAGCATTAGCAGCCTCGTGTTTGCTTTCACTCTACAAACATTAAATTCACAATCAATAAACAAACAAACACAAGAAATAGGTGGAAAAACAAATTATGCACAACAACATCAAAACACTTGCCTTTAAATAACACTGAGCCAACTTCACATATACAGCTCCGGCTTGATCCCCTGTGAAATTATATGCCACATTAGTAGAAACAAAGAGACAATATTCAATCTTTTTATCTTTAGCTATATCTTTACTATATTAGCACCATTAATCATTTCAGCTTACTTTGAAGACATAAATCCATTTCTTTTGTTTTAATAAACAATTCATATTGTGTTTTAATACTTACAAGATTTAGCAAGCTTGTAACAATTGGCGGCTTTTTCAAATAAATCACCAGCATCTTCGTACTTGGATCCAAAGAGGCCCCACCCACTCAGTTTTTTATCAGCTTTCTTCTCAAATTCTAGACCTTTTGATATTTGATCAGACATTCTCTCCAAGTCTTCTCTTTCCTCAAACAATGTTTCCCAAACTCTATGAATTCGCAGAAATTAAAAAACAAGATAATATTAGAAGCATGAATTAACGAATTTTATAGGGAACATCAGTGATTTCATATTTTATATATATTTAAGCTTTTCTAGCTCAGTGATTTCTAACAAACGATTATTATCAATTTATCATTGATATTATTGAACAGTGAATCTTTATTCATATTGTGCACTATGAAAGCTTAGTTCTTCATTCCTATTCTATAAATAAGAGTAATTGTGTAGTATCCTCCAAACAGTCCTTCTAAAAATCCTCCTCGAGGCACTTAACTAGCAGAAACCTAAACACCACAAGGTCCACAACAACCCATCTGCAAAATCTAAACACCATACAATTCTGCCAAGCATGTTAGTATTCTACTTCATTCACCAACCTATGTGACCATTTAGGTACAGTTAGGAGGATCACAAATCCTCTGATTGGATCTGTTATATTAAGGCCCTGATCACGCTATAATTTTGCCTCGATCATAGTAGATTTAGCAATACTTTCTCTTTTCAATTTTGGATTACGAACTATGCTGTTATCAAGCATCTATTGAGTCTTTGGTTACACAGATCAAATTCGATTCAGCAACTTAATTTATGAACTCTTGGGGGATTACTAGCAATAACAAGACATAAGTAGTTGACATTAAAACCCTAACAGATAAGGATCATGCAAAAAAGAATCAGCAATTGAATTAGTCTAATAAACGAATTGAAAATAATAAAATTCGTTTAAACAGATCGAAAGAAAACTCGATAGAAATGGAGTTGATAGAAGATAAACACTCACTCGTAATTGCAGAAGAGGTATGATGACGACGATCGACCCGCTTTACTTCAAAGGCTCTCTGCACCAGCGATCTGTGAAGTCAGATCGATCAGATTTTGATCAAATGTGAAAAAGGCAGCGGCTGCTCGATGATTTTCCTCCTTTGAAAAGTATTGTAAACCAAGCAAAGATCCTCCGGAAAGGAGTTGTTCGGTAGATGCCGAGTATTCAGCTTCTTGACGAATGTCAAATACACGCATATCTATTAATTTCGGTCTCCGTTTTTTTTTTTTTTTTTTTTCTCCTGTGGTCTCACTTTTATGATAAAATATATAAAAGTTTTGTTGTTTTCGTAGGATCAATTAAAAGTTTCTGGATTTAAAAGCTTTGTAGGATTTTGAATCTATTAGACTAGGGGGTGTTTGGCCAAAAAAAAAAAAAATTGTTGGTCAATGGTGTCCTCGACCCATGGATATAGTGACAAAACACACTTCCAGCTGCTGAAACACTCAAATAAATCTCTAGCTGCTGGTCCAACAATCCCTGCGCTATCAATATCAATAACATCCAATTAATAATTGGATTCCAATCCATAACCATCAATTTAAACTAGGGTAAATGACCATTTTACCATTTACCTAACTTGGCCCAAGGCCAAGGCCCAAACCAACTACACAAAAGGCCCAATTCCAAAATGGTCACCCAAAGTTCAATTATGTCCCAATCTTCCAAAGTGGGTCCAAATCCTTTCATAGGCCTTCATCCAAAAGAACCCAATATAAAAGCATCAGCCCAAAAATAGAAACCTGATGGCCTAACAAGACCCTAATCTCCTAAGGTCCAAACATGAGCCCAAAACCGAGAAGCCCAAAATCGAAGCCCACTTGATGAGTACACGGGGCGTACTCAACTTGTATGCTTAGCGTACACCCTCTGGGGCTAGTACACGCATCGTACCAACTTGGTACTCCCAGCGTACTCCCCAGTTGGCCACCCCCACTTCATTAAGCACTTAATCCATTGAGACTTCAAGCCAAACTCTCGGATCTAATTCTATAAGACCACTTATCACGTAAAGTTGGCAACTTTACACACATGCATGGCTTAATGGGGCTCAAGAGCTCAAAATGAGCTTAACAAAGGTCTTAAAACATGCATAGATCAAGATACACCATAAAGCTTGCATTTTTATGAACAAGGGAACCAAAAGAGGTCTAGATCTAACACCAACACTTCTGGAGTGAGTCAAGAAGCTCATCAATCACTCCAAGGACTCAAAATGCGTAAAATAACAACATAACTAGATCTAGCATCATGGATCATCAAGATGTGAGATTTTTACCTCAAAAAGCTTGCAAAAGATGAGCTAACCCCGGATCTTCAAGCTCAAGACGCCTCTCCAAGTGATCCACTTCTTCTTCTCCTTCACAAACCACCAATAAACACCCTTTAAGGCTCGAAACTTACAAAAACACACTAAGGTTTCGATTTTCTGGACAAAGGAAGGTGGAGGCTGGCTAAACATGACCAAATGAGGCTATCATAAGGTTTAAATAGGGTGCAAACCCTAAAAATTAGGGTTTCACTCATGCCCACGTACGTCATGCATACTCCACGTACGACCCGCGTACGTGGTTAAGGTCCACGATCAATAATGAGCCAGTACGCCCAGCGTACTCCAACTTTTCTGAAGTTGGAAAATCTACCCCCTAGGGACCAATTCTGCAAAACATAACACCCAAAGGGTCTAAATTGAAAAGTACTTTGAATCGGGTGTTACAATATCCCCCATCTCTAAAACTGTCACCCTCATCCTTTGTTCCAAACTCCAACCGTCTCCTTTCTCATCTGTCACAGGTAATCTAAACACACATGAAAACCTCATCGAAATAATCAATTTTCTTATTTTAGACTTCAAAATTAAGGGGTATGTAGCTCGTTGGTGATATGGAGAGGGTGGATTCGGGGATCCCTTCTCTATTCCATCCCTTTCTTTGCTTCAGGTTTGATGTCGCCTTGGTTCTTGAATAAATCAGTGTTCTTACCGGATTGAACCTGCGATCGAAGTCATTGAAGTTGCAGGTTTGTCACTAGATACTCCTTCTCCTCCTTCACGTTCGTATTGTAGCCATCATCGTGTTATGGTTCGGCATCGACCGCACTTGGCTTAACTTATGGACGTAGGATTCAAATCTATTGGTGTTTAAGTAACAATCGTCGAATACATCGTAGATGAGTTCGATTGGTATAGTGGTGACTGGGAGGGGATTCTTTTTTAGATGTAGTTGTTACAAGTTAATTTCCCAGGTAGAGATGTTGTTCCACCATTGTTAATGTGGCCTAATGTTCGAGGAAATGTGTTTACAGACATGGATTTCAAGTTTTCTCCTGTGAATAAATTCTTGGGTGGTAAGAGACAATAAATTATTGTATTTGGTTGTGGTATCGTTGGAGAAGAAGATGATAGAGTTTTTTTTATCTCAATTAAAGAAGAAAGTTTTACATAGACGTAGCAGGTAAATGAGCAACAAGTTGTGCCGCAACCCCTTTTTGGATGGCAAAACTAATTCTTTTAAAAATAACATATATAGATCTTGGGGTCATAAGATTACTATGCATGACCCGTTGGACTCTATTGAATAGCTTCACAGCTTTTGGCGCAAGGAAACCGAAAGTATCGAATGCAAAAGGTATAAACGTGTGTTGATCTTCCATACACGCTTTTCTTATGTTTTGCCACTTTGCATGATGCAGCCTTTAAAGCAGTTTGTATCACTTTGCATGATGCAACTTTTAAAGTTGAAGTAAGGAAAGAAAGAAGAGGCCAGACGGAGGGGTGGGTTGGGTGGAATAGGAATGAGGTGGTGGGACCCAACTGATTATCAAAGATTTTTTTAATAAATAAATAACCAATAAACATTAAACTAATTAAAAAAGAAATGTAGAGGGGTAATGTAGTCTTTTTACATTTGGCAAGGACCAAGCGTGTAACAAAAACTTATAATATAGACTATCCGAGTTTTAAAAAAAAGTTATTAGGGTCCAAACGCATAAATTACCCCAAACCACAAGGACCAATTCGTGTAGTTTACCCAAAAAAAAAGTTATCTTTTAAATTAATTTGAAGTCTTGAATCCGGTTTCATTGAGGAAAATATGTAAAGTTTTTTATTTTTGTTTGTTTGCAAATTGCAATCCGATTTTTGATTCATGTAGCTCAATGCTTCTTATTTTTGTTTGTTTGTAGCTTAAAGTTTCTGATTCACACAACTTAAAAGACATGAAACTAATAATATGAACATTTGATTTGTATGGGTTTTTGAAAAAATAAGTCAGAAGATTAAATAAAAATCTTGCAACTATAATGATTTACAAAAAAAAAAAAAAGGAAAAAAAAACAAAAAAAAAAAGAATAAACGTTGGAAACAACTCAACAAGTTTAAGAAAAATAATTATTGCTTTGAAATATTTATCTAAATATGATTTGGTTTGTAGAGGGTCAAAGTCTAAACTTTACAAAGATAATAATAGTAACTTTTGGACTAATTTAAATGATGGCATAGTTTGATGATATATATAGATATATATATATATATATATATATATATATATATATATATATATATATATATATATAATATATATATCTATATATATATATATATATATATATATAAAAGTTCAAATATTCTAACTAATTATTATGTGGATGTAGGGATTATTGTGGACCAGTCATTTCAAAAACCTGGATAGGGATAAAATAGTAATTTGAACTGTTAATTAATTTTGGTAATTAAATAATTTAATGATTATTCCTTTAATTTAGGTAAATTAGTGTTTTCATATATCAAGACGTTCAGCCCTAAAAATTAATATCAGAATGAAAGAAACTCCTAAAAATCAAATTGCTTCCCCAAATCGATGCAGTGGGTATTGTCGCCGGTACCATTTTTCTTTCCTCTGCCGTCTCCGAGAAGACCTTCTTCGCATCCACATCTCCTCCGCCATGCTCGATCGTAAATTTCTTGATCGATCTTCAATACAATATAACTTTATTCTAATCGATTCAATGTCTAGGTTTTGATCGATTCCTAATATTCTCATCATTGTCCGAGTACCCAGAAAATCAGCACAATCGCCTTATGTCCGGTGCTTCCCTCCTCTTTTCACCAGTGACACCCACCTCATGCGCCGTCCTCCGCCATCACACCCCATCTGTGAGTTTTTTATATCCGATTTTGAGTTTTTCATCTTATTGTACCTATGATTCTCCTAGATCGATTCATTTGGCTCTTCAAATAGCACACAATATGGCTCATATCGTGCCTATGATTCTCCTAGATCGATTCGTTCTCCTTATGGCTCAGGAAAGCATACTTTAAGTCAAAGACAAGATTCTGGGAAAGTTTCACATTCCGTTCCGGCATCGCCATTACGAACTTCTGGTTCCATTGAATTTAGTCCGGAATCAGAAGGGGCGATAGTTGAAAAACTCAGGGCAAAAGCAATAATGTGGGAAAGAAATGCAAGGAAGTTAAAGATTGATATGGATTTCTCAAAAAAGGATTCAAGAGACCAAACAAGGAAGTTTGAAAATGCAAGTATGGAGGTTCTTGCATTGCAGACAGAATGTGATGGACTGAAACATGAAATAGATTACTTGAAAGCTCTCTTGGATGAAGCTGAAGTGAAAGAAGAGGTTGTTGATAATCTAAAGCTCCAAGAGAAGGATGATATTCGGACGGAATTGGAAGAGGAATTAAAATTTCAGAGAGAGTTGAATAATAATTTATCTGTGCAACTAAATAAAACTCAAGAATCAAATCTTGAGTTAGTTTCTATTCTACAGGAACTGGAAGAGGCCATAGAGAAACAGAGATTACGCTTGAAAGATGAACAAGTTCTCAAGGCTCAAACTCTACTGGATTATGAGTCTGAATGGTCGAAGAAATTAAGCTTGAAAGATGAAGAAATTTTTATTTCAAAAGGAAAATTATCTGCTCAAGTTCTAAAGGAAATACCAAATCTCCTTGAAGTTCAAGCTTTGAAGGATAAGATTCGAGAGCTTTAGAGTGATTGTAATGAGCTTACTGATGAAAATCTTGAGCTTCTATCTAAGCTTAAAGAATCAAGTAAGGATAGTGGTTTGATTTCAGAAGAATCTTCTAATTACAAACAAATTGGTTCACTTGTTCAACATTCTCAAAGAAGATCAAGTGATGTTGACTTTTTCTATTATGGTTGGAATCAAATCAGTTTGCAAAAATAATTTTTCTCAAGTGTATTTTGGATTCGAAAAGAAGATCAAACGTATTTTGGATTCTTGAAGAAGATCAAGTGTATTTTGGATTCCATTAGAAGATGACATTCTGTTAGAATATGTCCAATTATATTAAAATGTATCAGTCTGTAAAAATATTTATGAATTTGTATTTTAAGTTCAGTGTATGAATATAATAGAATGTTGTTATTATTCAATTTCAGGTTCAAGAATTTTTATTATTCTTCATTAATATTCTAACAAAACAATACCATAGAATAACATTTCTAACAGAATTAAAATTAAATTTGTAACATCCTGTTTCGGATAGTCCGTAATTAGGGTTTGTGTGACATCCACATTTTCACGGCCAGAAAAAAACGATTTTTGTTTATGCTTGTTTGAAAATCAGAGTAACATTTTAAATAAAAGTGTTGCGGAATTTGTCCCAAAACAAAATATGATAAAGATTTATCAAAAGCATTTCCAAAGAAATGTATTTCATTAAAAGACTCGGGATGTCATGTTCGATACAGATCAAAAGCATAAACAGTACAACATAAGCCTTACTACATTATTTCGTATTTACAGGCCTATAATCCCTTATCTCTCATCCAAACATCTATGCTCATGCGCCACTACCTGTAATACAAGAAACTGAGTGGGTCAGGCTTGGGAGCCTGGTGAGCACATAGGGTTTTCAACCCACAATAAATAAATTTATTATTTTCATCAACCAAACAACCCGATTACCCCTTCTCGTTATCCTCACTTTACGTCCCTAAAACATCTAACACAAGGGATCTAGTCTAAGGACTTTCATCGGGGTGACAACACATGCTTTGGGGGTTCCTCAGCAATTCATGTCAAATAAGGCAACCATGTGGGGGATGGAGTACTGCTGGTGAGCACACAGTTCAAATAAACACCTACAGGTTGCGAGGCTGCTAGCGTTCCACTGGACTGTCTAGAATAGTCTGTGGTCGTCATCTATACTCCGCTAGATGACTGGATCATCAATAACATCTATAACGAGGCCTCTTATTATTTTATTTTTTTTCACACAGCAACTATTACATCTACCCATGTTTTACCCAACACATTTTGTAGTTATAAATAACATATACAGTTTAAATCATTTAAAACATGTATAAAATCGTTCATCTAGCATAGATAGCAAGTATACAGATAATATGCACACATAGCACGTAATTTATATAAAATATACTTCATATCTATGTGTAAGATGAAAGTAACTATACACTCACCTTAACGTTTGATAGACGATTAGTGTTCTGGAATGGATGCGAGAAGGTCGAGTAGTATTTCTGTGAATACGAATCTCCGAGAAAATTTAGTTTCCTAAGGAAATATTAATATAATTAATATTTGGAGGGTAGTTTGGTAATTAACCAAGGTATAGGGTCCGTTATGTTAATTAAACAACTTAGTTGGACTAAATTATAAATATAATTTCCAAATGAGGGACCAATATGGAACATATACATCATAGTTTAGAGTTTAGGATCTGATTTGTAAGAGGTTTCCAAGGAAGGACCATTTGTGAATAAATAAAAGAAGGTTTAAATGAATTAGGACAAAAAATGTTAAGAATTTCGAAATAGGGTATGGGGAATTAATTTGGAAACAAAGTTTGGCCAAGATATGTGCATTAAATTTGATCAGGAGGCATCACCCCCCTGATCACGTCAAAATTGGACGCAAAAACACACATGCACAAATGGATTTGTGGAGCTCAAACCGTTCGTCGAAATGGAAAACACAAAGAATGAAAAATGTTAAGCACTGACT